TTAGTTGTATAGTTTACTCACTCAAAAGCGTTCAAATTCGGGAACCACACTGGGGAAAAAATGAGAACAGGCTATAGGAATATGACTATTTGTCTTTAACAAAAGAAACTATATTAATGTTTATTTTATTTTATTTCTGAAAAATAAAAAAATAGAACAGGCACTTTTACTGAAAAGTGTACAAAATAGAACATGGAGCTTTCAGATGTATTATATAATGTGCTTAACATTCAGAAAATGATGAACAAACCAAACGAGAGCTCTTTTTTTATTGTGAATTAGATTAGCAGTCATCACATCTAATAGTTCTTAAAATGCTTTCTGATCTTTAATTCTTTCTCTCTTTTTTTTGCTTTTTGATTTGTTATTAACACTTTCCCCGCCAGCGTTTTTTGTTTTAAGTTGGCAGCCAGCGTCAGCCTTTTTGACCATTTTAACAAAACTTTGAAAAGTCTACCAATGGCGGAGTTAAATTCACCTCTGAAATGAAATTATTGTTACTGTGAAAAGTCATTAAAACACATTTTAATGAAAAAAATTGTTGAATTTATTATTGAATTTATGGCTTATCATTTTGGCAATATTTATTCTTCAAAAGTAATTTTCAAGCCTGACCATGTTTAATAACAGTAAAACAGTACACTAGGTGAAATAAAGTTGCTGCCTTAAATTTTTAAGTATAATCAGTTTTGATTTTACGATGTAGGCTATTTGATGTTTAAAGTCCCCGTGAACCGGAAGTTGCAAACGACTTTTCTCCAGTGTTGTCAAGTCAAGTCAAGCCATCTTCATTTATATAGCGCTTTTAACAATGAATTGTTTCAAAGCAGCTTTACAGAGATAAACATATAATTTAAGGTAACAGATTGTTTTGGCGTTATAGCGGTTCTTGAATATAGAACCAAATGACTCAAATGTTGTGACGTATTTCCGAGAGAAACGGAATACTAAATGAGGCAAAATAGTGGGCGTGGCTTTCTTTCCAACTAGCACCTGATTGGATCTAGAAAAGTAGGTGTTTTCATTCAGCCTGTCTCCTGTCAGTTGGAGGGGCGTGGTTACGGATGTTAAGCAGACACCCAAACCGTCAAACCTACGTCATCAAGGAAGGTCCTCCAATGCAGAGGGGAGGGGAAATTTCAGATTTTGATTAAACTATTGAATACATCTTTACAGATGCTATCTAATTCAGTCACTGACTGTAGTGCATGACTGTAGCTTTCAGCCAGGAGAAGATGTCATCAGGTGGCATCCAACTTTCATGGGGTGTTTCGACCCTGAACCACAACACCCTCCAGTTGGCGGGTCGGCAGTGGTGGCCAGTCACTGCCCACCTCCTCCTGGCCCCCAGCTCAACTCCTCCCTCCTATTCCAGAGCCAGCAAGACGCTCTTTCTGCTGCCTCACCCAACCTACGGACAGCTGCCTTCCTCTCCCTTCCTGCTATACCCAGAGCTGTGAGTGTCTTCCACACAGACTGCGCCGGGAAACCCCTACACCCGACCTCAACCGGGAATAACCAGGTCTGCCACCCTTTGGCCCTGCACTGCTCAACGAGGTCCTGGTACTTGGTGGCTTTCCACCTCACACCCGTCTTCCCACGGCACCGTCAGTTCAATTAGGATTATCTTCCTTGCCTACTCAGACCAAAGGACCATGTCCGGCCTCAGCGATGTTTGCACAACCTGGGGGAAGACTAGTTTCCTTCCCAGGTCCACCCTCATCTCCCAGGATTGTGCTGCTTGCAAGAGGCTCTTTTTCCTCCTCTTGGGGGCTGGTGGTTTCTCCCCTTCTCTAATGAACTGAATGAATGTTGCCGGCCTTGTACTGTTCTGGCGCTTTCTCTGCCTCTCCCGCTCCAAGATGTCAGCCAGTTCACTGAGAACCTTGTCATGCCGCCACCTGTATCTTCCTTGGCTAAGAGCTGTTTTGCATCCTGCCAGTATGTGCACCATTGTTCCCCTCCCTCCGCATTGCCTACACAATGGGTCCTCCCTCATTCCCCACCTGTGGAGGTTTGTTGGTGATGGAAGGGTGTCGTAAACTGAACGGAGCAGGAAGGAGATGCGAAAGGGCTCCAGTCTCCAGATCTCAGGCCACGTGATCTTCCGCTTCGGCAGGTCCCACTTTGTCCAGGCACCTTGTGCTCCAAGTTCGACGGCCCTAGACCTGCGCCTTTCTTCCTCCAGGTGTCGGACCTCGGCTTGAATCATGTCCCTCCTCTGCCTTGGGTCTGCTTTACCCCACTGCTGGAAGTGTGTGGACCCGAGTCCTTGCCTCCCTACGCATGGGTTCCCGATGATGTCCTTCAGCTTCAATGGGCTTTCTGCTTGTGCCACTGATGTGTCAGCCGCCCATTTGCGTCCTGATCTCGTAGTGACGCCTGCTTCTCTGACTTTTTCATCAGTTGAGTCTTGGTACATCAAAGATTACGAAGCCAAAAAAATGTTGTGTGTGGATTGACTTGCATGGATGAATTGTTCACCACAAAACGATCAATTTAGGCAAACAAAGTAAGTATGGTCAATTTGGAATTCATGGGGATTTTAAGTAATTTGTACTTACAAAAAAGCTGAATTTTTTTTTTTTTGATGAGTTAAAGCAATGTAAATATAGGCTATGTTGTCAACTAATTGATCATAATTTTTACAGTGTAGATTACAGAAACACTTCAGATTGACAGTGGCTGCAGTTATCAATCTGAGAACTGACTATCAGCAAAAACTGCACAAGTATTAATATCGAAAGACTTAATCAGCTATCATAAGTCGATAATTTCAGATCAATTTAGAGACGAACGGACTAAAATGTAGACAATCTCATATTCTGTTGATCGGTCTCATGACACGATAACAGACAGCTTACCATGACATTAAAAAGGAAATCAAATTATGACAAAACGGGCATTACCGCTTAAATCTGAAGAAATGTTTATTCATCTTCTCAAGCGTAGAAATTCACATGATCATTTAGCAACATTACACTGTTCTAGTGTCGCCCAAAAAACATGCATTTTGGAGTGTATATATACTTTGAAGCACATTGTAATTTCTCTCCTTTTACATCCAATTGTGGGCATTCCAAAAAAAAAGAAAATTAAACCGACAAATAACACGACAGAGGTGGATCTCTCTTTGAGCGTGGCGGCTGTACCATGGCTTTACTTTAGTGCAGAAAGAAGAAACACTGGCACTGGCTTCCAGTCATTGACACCTTACTCCTTTTGTCTCTAAATTCATCAAAACAGAGATAGAGAGTGTTGGCAGAGCTACAGCAAGGAGCGTTGGTTTAGTCACACAGAAATAGACAATCAGAAGGTAAAAGAAAAGAACTAGGAGGAGAGACAGACACAAAGCAGGATCTTCAGTGCAGGAAAACATGAGAAAACCTTTAAGGGAAAGTGAGTGTACAATCTGGACATCTTCACACAGACTTTACTGAAGGTGCATTTTATTTCATTGTGCATCACCTTCATGTACAGCGATATATCGGCATTTCAAGTACAATACAGAGAAAATGTAAAGCAGTGCACCTTTGAACAATAACTGTTTTGCTGACTAATAGACAAGCACTGTAGTGTTTCTGTCACATCAGAGAAACATCAACTCTATCGCCTCTTTTAATCATCAATTTTTTTTTATAAAATGGCAATTTCAAAGCGTTTAATCAGTTCCCTTTCGTTACAACACTGGAACTCAAATACTTCAGCTTTCACTCCTGTGAAAAAGGCTATAAAACTCACACAAGATAGTGTGTAAGTGTATTATAAGCATATAAGATTGTGTAAATTGTTATTGAACAACAAAAAAAGATGGTATCAAATCTGATTATTGCTAGTGTTTACACATGTTTTGAATTAAAAAGCTGTACAGGGATCTTGTTGATCCAAATAAAAGAAATGCATCCATGTCAAAAGAAACAATTCAGTGTTTGATTAAAGTTATATTTACAAATATGATGTGCTATGTACAAGGCACTGGATCACATGGATTATATTAAGACTTGGCACATCATCAATATTGATGTATCGCTGTAACGACTAAAAAAGACTGTTCCGACTGTAAAATCTGATTGGATTAGCTGAACTTTATCTACATTAATAAAGAAATGTTGCTTGTAAGCAACTTATATATTGTTTATTCTTTCTGCTTTTATGTATATGAGCAATGAGCCACTCTATACCATGCATTACAGTGATTTACCATGTTAAGTGGGTTATACCCCTGGTGAAATCCCTAACATACAGCTTCTCACGGCTTATTGAATCACTTGAGGTTGGTGAAGGGACATGGAAATGTAGGTACCAGTTGTCTTTTCTTTCATGCATGAACCATGAATTCCAGGAACAACTGACATTTGTCATTTATATTTAAAGAATTTGCTCCAATTCAGCTCCAAGGCTTTCAGAACACAACAATCTTCACTTGAGACAATGCAAGGGTCAAGTATTTGCTGCACATCAGAACCGTCCTGCTCTAATCAACACTTGACGCATTTAGAAAACAGATAGTTTATTGAAGGCACTCCAGATGAGATCATGGAGGCCCTTTACATCAGCAATATAAGTAATGGAGATGGAAAAACACTGAAACCTCTTTAATAATTACATCATATCCATTCAAATGTACAATGCAAATTAATCATTCAAAAACACCTGAATATAAATGTATTTTTTAAAATCTTTTTCATTAATAACATTTGTTTGTACTTGGATAAACTCTCCGTTATTGTTACAAACAATACATTCAAACATATTGCCACACCGGTTTCATTGTCATTTTTTTTGTTCAACAAAAAATGTAATTCATTTACTTGCCCTCATGTCGTTTCAAGCTCATACAACTTCTATTTCTTGCATGGAACACAAACAAAATGTTGTGATTTCTGAGCTTCTCTCTTCAATAAAGTGAAAGTGGATTGGGACCAGTTGCTGTCAAGCTCCAAATAAATATAAAAAGCACTATAAAAGTGGTCCATATGACTTGAAGCCACACAATAGGTTTGTCTGAGGAACAGACAATCACAGAAAAAGAAAATCTTGCTGGACAGGTCCATTCACTTTCATTTTAAGGAAAAAAATCAGCTTTTTTTGTGTTCCACAGAAGAAAAAAGTTACGCAAATGATGAAAGAATTTCCATTTTCTGGTAAAAACTAAATCCATGGACCCCTCGATGGCAAAAGTGATGCACTTAGTTTATACATTGCTGACATGTACATGCATGAAAGACAGGCAAGAGATACATATAGACAATTTAACGTGTTTATTGAAAAAAAGTTCAACATCCTTATGATAGGAACGTATGGTGAGGAAGGTCAACATGGAATATTCAGCATTCCGGTTCCATTAGGCTGCTTCCAACTTGGATAAAATAAGGGAAAGAGAAGGAGGAAAGGGTGGATCTAGATCCTCTTCCTCTGAGGGTGGAGTGAAGGGGAATGGATTGTTGAGAGATAAAGGAAGACAGGGAAGTGAGTGTGGACGGAGGGGAGGGTGGTGTCTGTGTGTCTGTCTGTCCTCTCACACTGTCGAAATCAATTTGCCCTCGGCACTGTGGAACAAAGAGAGGGAGATGCTGCCAGACTGGCTTTGGACACGGACACATTGATGCACAGAGAGCATAAAGCACTCATGTTCAAGGAATAGTTCACACATAAATGAAAATTGTCATCATTTACTCACATTTTCCAAACCAAAAGTTACAATGAACAGCGAATGAGCTTATCAGGCAAAAGCACCATGAAAGAATCATAAAATTAGTCCAAATGAATTGTTTGCTATACTTGAACTCAAGAAATGATGAGTCTGATTCGTGAATTAATCATTGAACCTGCTTTTGTGAACTTGATCAACCAATTCACAGAAAAGATCGTAATCAAAAGAATTATTCGTTTTTGTGCTTCTCTCATGAAAGGAGAGGTAGGGGGGCGATGTCAAGATAATGATTTAAACTCTAGTGTGTTCTTTAAACAAAGCTTCTGTATGGCTTCAGGGGACTTATGAATATAGGAAATGAGTCATTTAGACTACGTTTATGGTGCTTATTGAAGCTGAAAAGCGCAAATCTCCCATTTATTTCTTGTGTTCCAAGAAAGGAAGAAAGTCCTCTGTAATGATGTGAGGGTGAGTAAATGACGACAGAATTAATTTTTTGGGGTGAACTATCCCTTTAATGTTACTAATTTAAAACTAATCTCTATTAAAGCAGGTTGCAAACATGTGATGGGCTTCATTTCCTGCAAGACACGTGTGTGTGTGTGTGTGTGTGTGTGTGTGTCTGTGGTTCAGAAGTAAAATGAAAACGATTCAAACATACTAATCAGAATCAGAAAAAAATTCCAGATTCATACACTTGTATTGAGAAAATGGAGCCCATTGTTTCAAATGCATCATGGGAGTCAAATCTAAATGGTGTGTATAGATAGCAAGGTGTAAAGTGAACTAGAGATTTTAAATACTCAGGGAAGCATGTGGAAAATCACTTCTCGTGAGAAATTCCCAACAGAAACTAAAAGTTGGAATAAAAAACACTTAACGACTATTTAAGACAGACACACATGGACAGCAAAAGCAAGAATGGAATGGAAACGTAAATGGAAAAATTAAACCATTTGAGAAATGTAATCTCTACCTACTTCAAATTTTGGGATGCTAAGGAATTTGGAATAAAAGCTGGGAATGGTCAGCTTCCCCATAGATGACCCACAAGGGGCTATTTATTTATTTATAATGATGTCACACAAGGTGCTTTCTACAATAAAAAAAAAAAGTTAACTCAAATTGGTAAAGTAGGGCTACAACATGTTTGAGAGTAGGTATGCTTCTCATCTATGGGAAATGACCATAAATGACTTATATTATTGCGAGGTTTATGAAACCCATTTAAACAATCAGAGGTTTCTCTCTTGTTCAACATGGGTTTAGGTGCCGTTTGGTCACCCGCCCACCTTATGTTTGGGCTAGACCTTCAGAAACGTCAGCTATGTTCGTCTGCTCCGGCTGCAGGTCAAGCAAACAAGACTTTTTTGCTTGCCATAATCGCCACGGATTTAGAATATGTATGTAACATTTTTAATTCAAACAAAAACAGAGAGAAATAATTCAAATAATATAGGAAACAAAAAAAAGAACTTATAGACAAACTAAAATGCATTTTGTTGATATTGTGTCACTGTTCAGAGGCCTAATGAGTAAGTGAAAACTTGGTCTTACCTTGTTTGGAAACGAGACTCGTACTCCTCCAGCCCTTGCTGTGAAGGAAGAGAGAATATCTTTAAGTTATTTACTTTTCCTCACATCTCCAGTAGATGGCAGTAGAAGAACACAGAACACTTATGAACTGCAGTATTGATGATACTGTAGCTAAAGCTTTGCTATTGTAACAGGGAATAAAAAAGGAGGTCATTGGGTGCATCCTGAACAGAAGCAATGGGAAGAGACAATTGAGCAGTGTCTCCAGTCCAGAGGAACACAAGCAGGGCAATATTGAATGCACTAAGGAGGGGACCCTGGGGTTTCTTGCTGGCTTTGTTGCATGTGTGGATATGTACACTTTGCTGGCTTTGTTACATATATGGATATATTATATATGGAAATATTACATAACAAAGCCCTACTTCTGAAACTGTGACAAAAAGCGTTCCACCATACCTCTGGTGTATGAGATTGTGATGCATTTTGATGTTACCCCAGAAGTATGCTTATTCATATAAGTCTATAATGCCATTGCAAGTGGATATATTTCAGTAAAGTTTAGTACAAAAACAGACTTTTCATGCAAACATTTCTCAAAAATAAATGTTGGGTTTTAAATGCCAAACCCTAGATTTTGTTTGTTCTTACATGCAACATGCCAGCTTCCTTCAGGGTTCAGGGTAATGTCCTGGAACGTCCTCTATGCGGTTAGCTGGAGATTGGGCTGCTCTAATCGAACTGTCGCACCGCTATATTTCAGCATGTCTGATAAATGTCTACGAAAGGTGATTAATACAACGGTACTATTTTTATAGAATGCTATACTAATATCTGCATACATCTGTCAAGTTTAATCTGTGTGTACTGGATGTAAGAATGAGAACAGACAGGGTGTGTGTGTGTGTGTGTGTGTGTGTGTGTGTGCATAGCTTACTTGTGAGAATCCTGGCACAGCCATGCTGTACGGTCTCTGTCGGCTGTGTGGTGTGCTCTGCTGCTGGGCGAGGAAGCGTGCGGGCATGCCGTAATCAGGTGTTGGCAACGCCATTTCTCTCTCCAGAAGATTTCCTGTGCTGCTGCTCCTGTTATGCTGCAAACTACAAACACATACATATATACACACCATTCAAGTCAATGTGATTTGCCATCTGCAGCTCATATATATGTCTATAATGTGACATTTTTGGATATTGAATTGAGAAATGTAGTTTATTTTATCCATTAGGAATTGATTGGATGTTGCATACTAGAATGGAGCCAAACTGAATTCACATTTGGTCAAATAATGTCTAAACATTATGATATTGGATAACATTATCCAAGTGACATCAGTGAAAAGGAAAGTGAGACTGAGCTAGACATTACATTTAAAGGACGGCATTTCTTTTCTAGGGAATAACATGCACAGATCATCAAACGCAATAATATTATGAATGTGCCTGAATAAAGTAAACAAGGTTCATTTTGATTTGTCATGTCAACATTAACATCTTTATGCACAGGCATCAAACTTGTCTAAATTGCATGTTTTATGGTGTTATTCAGTTTATGATGGTCATAGTTCTCTAATTGCACTTCATTCATAGGTTGAGCCAGCACAATATTGAACGGCATTTAGACATTGAAAAGGCTTTTGTAAGACTCACCTGACGTGGAGTTTGTTGCTGTCTGGTTCGGGAATTACACGAGTGTAAGAGAACGGGAACCAGCCTCTCCTGATAAGACACATACAACATGGCATTTGAAGCAGATTTTCGGGTTCATCAATTTGCTTTAAAACACTTTCATCATCAAAAATCTTTTTCTCTAAAGTCATCCTATGCATGAGCAAATTTTATTGTGATGTTAAGCATAAGATGCTTACATTCTGTTCTTCTCGTTTTCACCGTAGTGCCAGCCATCTCGGGCTTCAGGCACCAACAGTGTGATGATGTCTCCTTCCATAAAGCTGAGGAGAGTGCTGTTGTCCCCGGCGGCATGGGAGAAGAGGGCCTGAACGCGTGTCCGGCCATTTCTCTCCAGCCCAGCTGCCATCGAGCTTGACCTGGGCAGGGTCTGTGTCTCTGCTGGGGTCAGAGATTAGAAATTCATGCTGAGCAATTTTTCAGAATTGATTATGCAAGAGAAATGTCAGTGTATAGATGCATGTATATTTTATAGAATAAATTGTTTTTGTGTTTAAAATATTTGTGTTGTTAACATACTAACATCAAACTATTGGAATCAGTTCAGTCAAATGCTTGTTTGCTGCATGTGAGAGGCACTATTTGAGTCTCTCCTCTCAAATCGGTCACTTCCGAGATTTAGTTTCAGTTAGTATCCTGCCTAAGTAGGCAGTTAACAACAAGGCAGCTCAGTAGGTTTAGGAATATATTTAAAATTTGGTTGCACTTTATCTGACAGTACGTGTACTTGTCTTGCAGTGTACTTACCCAAGAAAGTACTGGTTAATATAAGCCAAGGTAACTACATGAGTTAAGGTTAGGTTTAGGGGTAGGTTCAGGGTTAGTACCTAGTTATTACCCAGTTATTGTAAAAACTATAGTAAGTACATAGTATGTACATGGGGAACAGGACTGTAAAATAAAGTACCAAAATTGCACGTAAAGGTCGTGTACAACACTCATTAAGAGGGCTCGTTTCTGCTGCTTCTTAAAAATACTTCCTTCAAATGAGAAGCTATAACCTTCACCTATTTTCTATTCATTTTTAAAGCTGTCCTCTCTATTCCCAGCTCCTCTGCCCCGTTTTCATTTTCAGCAGTGTTTGCCCTGTTATTGTCCACTCACTAGAGGAATAATTCTCAAGGAGAGAGAAACGCACAGGTGCACAGACCCTGACACAGCTGTAAAGCGCAGATGCCAGTTCGAAATGAAGTTATATAGCTGGGTATTGAATAAACAGCACTGAAAACTTCCATATGTCGTGATCAGAGAGTTAGATGCAATGGGAGATGTTTCGCTTGTTGCATCCTTAACTTACCCAGAGTGTTCTTGGGCTTTGCAGGAGCAACCTTGCGGACAGGCAGGGTATTGGAGAAGGTCTCTACACCGTGTCTGTGAGACTGCGCAGACGGTCTCTCGTGTGCGGCTCTGGTCTCCATCCAGCGTTGGTAATCTTCTCCTCCATGGACCCCTGATCCATTCATTATGGGTACACATTCTGCTCCCATCATCCTCTGCAAGAGGATTTTTTAGGAACAATTAAGACACATAGTTTTCATGTGTAAAACTTAAGACTTTACTTCCACTATACAGTAACTCCAGCTGTGCCTCTGTGATAATAAACTGTAAACTGAAGAGTTGTACGTGCCCTCAGGTTTCTGATTATTCTTTCCACAGTATTGTGATCATTATCAAACAGCATTTTAATGACTTTATATCCATCTCTCTCTTTCATTTGGCCGTGAGTGGTTCTCACACCCCCAAACACCCTCAGGACTTAATTATACACATCATTAATGCAACCATTTACAAATTTTCTAGCTGCACTTGAGACATTGTATCATTTTGTGGCTCTCATTGTTTTATTCAGGTCAAACAGGGTTTCAAACACACCGTCTGTTGGCTCCCCATGAGAGCTGCAAGCTCAGGTGGCACAGGAAGTGGCTTGGCCCCAGGGATGGGGTCTGAGATGGTCAGGTTAGATTTAGAGGTGTGGTGTCCCAGCGTCCCCACCGCTCCTGAGCCCATCTGCTGAGCCAGAAGCATCGCCCGCTCCGGGAGTTTATTTGGGTCGGCACATGCTTGTTGCCACAATGGGATCTTATGCGTTAGCAAGTCTCTGCCCTAAAATAAACAATCCACACCACAACAAGTGTTAGCACCCAGCATGAGTGACAAACTTTACATACCTGCAAGAGAACAATTTAGAAAACCCATGTGGGTAAATCATGAATAGACCAATGCAGACTCTTTATGTGAAAATAAACTTCAGATCCTGCACAGCTGAGGTTTCAGGGGTGAGCTCTTCAACTGATGGACTGATAGAGGGAATGCGATAAAGTGTGATAAAGTGATCCCTCCCTCCTCACCTACCGTTCCTCTGAAGCTCTGAGACATCCCTCTCTATCCTGATAACCTCCCTTCTCTGTAGGTTGAAGCCTGAAATAGCCTCATTACTCTGCCCTGTGCACAGGCAGTGAGCCTGGCCCTGGCTGAGTGTTACGACCAGTAGCTGTAAAAGAGAGAGATGAGGATCGCCTAGAGACCTCCGAATGTAGAGCACAGGAAGTGCGATTTTATCTTTGGACTCTTTTCTGTAATTCAGATCATCTGCTTGAGCAGTGCATGGATGCTTGTTTAAAACTCTGAAGACCCACATGTGTTGTGACATTTTTATAGTTCAGGGATAGTTCACCCCAAAATCAAAATTGTTGTTATTTACTAACCCTTATGTCGTTCCAAATCAGTATAAATTTTGGTTTGATACTCACAAATAGTTGTACTAGTTTGGGCCTTCATGTGCATGTACATTTAACAGTTTTGGACACAAATAACTACTTAAATACTAATATATTATTTATTTATTTTTTTCCCCCCCTCTTCGGAGAGCAACTTTATTTTTTAATTTTTTAATTTTTTATTTTTGTTTTAAAACTTTAGACTGGTAACTGATAACGAGTTTGTGCTGAGTGCAGGCCACTGAGCTGGTCTACAGACTGGTAACGGGAATGTGCTGATTGCAAACTGCTGGGCTGGGACACAGACTGAGAGCTGGTTTATGCTGACTGCAGGCCACTGAGCTGGTCTACGGACTGGTAACGGGAATGTGCTGATTGCAAACTGCTGGGCTGGGACACAGACTGAGAGCTGGTTTATGCTGACTGCAGGCCACTAGGATGGTCCACAGACTAGTAGCCAGTTTGTGCTACACGCAGACCACTGAGATCTAGTCCACAAACTGTGAGCTGGCTTAAGCTGGTTGTTGAATGCCAGACTGGTCCACAGTTTGTAAGCTGGCTTGGGCTAGTTTTTGGATGCCGGACTGGACCGCAGATTATGAGCTGACTTGGGCTGGTTATTGGATACTAGACTGGTCTGCCGATTGTAAGCTGGTATATGATGGTTGTTAAATGCCAGATTGGTCCACAGACCGTAAGCTGCCTTGGGCTGGTTGTTGAATGCCATACCAGTCCACAAATTGTGAACAGACTTGGGCTGGTTGTTGAATGCCATACTGGACCACAGACCGTAAGCTGACTTGGGCTAGTTGTTATATGCCACACTGGTCCACAGATTGTGAGCTCGTCTTGGCTGGTTGTTGGATGCCAGGCTGGTCCGCAGATTTTGAGCTAGCTTGGACTAGTTGTTAGATGCCGAACTAGTCCACAGATTGTGAGCTGGCTTAGGCTGGTTGTTGGATGCCAGACTGATCCACATACTGTGAGCTGGCTTAAGCTGGTTGTTGAATGCCAGACTGGTCCACAGATGGCGAGCTGACTTGGGCTGGTTGTTAAATGCCAGACTGGTCCACAGATGGCGAGCTGACTTGGGCTGGTTGTTTAGGTGCCAGACTGGTCCGCAAGCTGTGAGCTGACTTTGGCTGGCTGTTGGATGCCGGGCTGGTCCACAAATTGTGAGCTGATTTGGACTGGTTGTTGGATGCTAGACTGGTCCACAGACTATGAGCTGACTTGGGCTGGTTATTGTATACCAGACTGGTCTACAGGTTATGAGCTGACTTGGGCTGGTTGTTGAATGCCAGACTGGTCCACAGACTGTGAACTGGCTTGAGATGGTTATTGGATGCCAGACTAATCCACATACTGTGAGCTAACTTGGGCTGGTTGTTACATGCCAGACTGGTCTACCGATTGTGAGCTGTCATGGGCTGTTTGTTGAATGCAAGACTGGTCCACAGACCGTGAGCTGACTTAGGTTGGTTGTTGGATGCCCGACTGGTCCACAGATTGTGAGCCGGCTTGGGTTGGTTGTTGGATGTCGGAGTAGTCCACAGATTATGAGCTAACTTGGGCTAGTTGTTGGATGCCAGACTAGTCCAAAGATTGTGAGCTGGCTTAGCCTGGTTGTTAAATGCCCGACTGATCCCGACTGATCCACAGACTGTGAGCTGGTTTGGGCTAGTTGTTGAATGCCAGATAGGTCCACAGGTTGTGTGCTGACTTGGGCTGGTTGTTAGATGCCCAGCCGGTCCACAGATTGTGAGCAGGACTGGGCTGATTGCTGGATACCAGACTGGTCCACAGAATGTGAGCTGACTTGGGCTGGTTGTTGGATGCCAGACTGGTCCACAGACTGTGATCTGGCTTGGGCTGACAGCAGGCTTTCTAACAGTTCCACAAACTGTGGGCTGACTTGGGCTGGTTTTTGGATACCAGACTGGCCCACTGATTGTGAGCTGGCTTAAGTTGGATGTTGGATGTCGGACTGGTACCGTACCGCATGTCGGAGTGGTATCGTACCGCAGATCCCCGTATCCCCCAGCAGGGCAGAACACATATCCCTTCCCTCCTACTAAGTGACATAATTAATCAGCGGGGCCCAGAGAGAATCGAAGTCAGCCGATCGAAGATTGTTAAAAGCAAGCATGGACTCCAAACTGATATGATCCGACAGGAGATTTCTATACTGGTTAATGCTAAGATTATTTTTAGTTTTCCAATTCAAATAAATAGTTTTCTTTGCAACAGATAATGTGGTGAGGACCATGTGTGCTTTGTCGATCTCCACATTGATATCATTTAAATCCCCTAATATGCATAGTTTTGGGCAAGTAGGTATATTACACTTAAGCCATATTGATAAGTCCTCACAAACCTTAGTCCAGAATCTTTGGACTGGTGTACAAAGCCACCAGGCATGCATGTAATCGTCTGCTGTATTACTTGTGCACTGCGTGCAAATATTTGATTGATTAAAACCCATCTTAAACATCCTTTGTCCTGTATAATAAGTTCTATGGAGGATTTTGTATTGTATGAGTCGTAGATTCAAGCTGTCAGTCATATTAAAGTTGTTTAATATTATTTCTGACCAAAACTGATTGGTGGGATTCAGTGATAGATCCGACTCCCATTTTGCAATTGGTAATGAGATTGTATCATCTATTTTGGAGATGACTCTATATATTTTCGATAGTAGCTTTGGAGTACCAAGGCTCCTGAATTCTGAAACACTTGGTGGGAGTTCCAGGTTTATTTGCTTAAGAGGGAATTTTTTACTTATTACTGCTTTGAGTTGTTGATATTCTAAATATCTGTTATTACTTATCCCATACTGTGAGGTGATTGTTTGGAATGGTAAAAAGTTACAGTTATGGATTAAATGCTCTAAATGTTTAATTCCTTTGTTTTCCCATTGGATAAAATTAATCATATTTTTGTTTAGTGTGATATCAGGATTATTCCATATAGGGATATAATATATTATAATATATTTTTTTCAATTGTGTATACTTTTCTTTGAACGATTGCTCTGCTCAAGACGCCTAAATCAAATATAAAACAACCTACCTTCATATAGGTTGATACTATATTGAAACGATCATGTTGTCCCAAACCGGTAGAGGACAATTTATGAAGAATCTTTAAAGTGTCTGACAGATGACGACTACGATATGGTTATAATCAACCATTGTATGTCATATGCTAAACACAACACTAAACATATCTGTATTCAATGATAATCTTGCCCTCCACAGAAGCTCTGAAATCTGATTTGGATTCACATTCAAATAAAGATATAAAAAAGGTATCATTTGGTTTGTGTGTGTGAATCAGATTTGAGAACTGCACAAAAAAGGTTAAATTCTTATTTTCTATAGACTATAGGAAACAATAGAATATGTGTTTGGAACATAATTCTTTTTTTTTTTTTTTTTTTTTTTTTTTTTTACACAGGGGTGCCCAATCCCGTTCCTGAAGATCTACCTTCCTGCAAAGTTCAGCTCCAACCCTGATCTAACACAACTGAACCAGCTCCTTAAGAACTTGATTATTATAGTGTTGGATTAGGGTTGAATCTAATCTCTGCAGGTCTCCAGGAGGCAGGAACAGGGCACCCCTGCTTTAACATAAGTGTGATAAATGTCCTACACATTCTACTTGGGTGAAAATTTTCTATTAAGGTTAAACTTATTTGCCTTTGAGTGAAGGGGCTCGAGGAAGCAGCTTCAACAATAGCAAAATGCCTAAATTATGTTGGTGGAGCTGGGGAGGTGGAGGGATGCCAAAACAGCCGATGCAAGGCGAGCGACTGCTTGTCCGGCAGTTAATTGAAAGATTAAATGGGTTCACTCATCCTGAAATTACATTTAGGAACTTCACTTAACATGTCAAAACCTTTCTAATCTAATCTTTGTTTTTATTCTCCTTCACTCCACCATATGGAAAGAAGCGTAAATGGGTGAAGCATAGTTTACTGTAAAGCTGCGTCTTAGTGTTGCTTATCTTGGCGAAAGCCGAGTACAAATCAGCATGAAGTTTAACATCTACTCTCGTGTAATGGAAATCACTCTGTTCTTATAATATCTCTATTTGGCCAGCACAGGTCAGTACCGCATCTACTGAGCCCCCATGGTCCTTTTCTAAGTCACGACCTCATACCACCCCACCCAAAGCAATTATCACCCGCCTGCCTGTCCGGCACCTGCAGACTCTGTCACGACCTCATTGGGTCCATGAAAGCAAAAACGCTAGCGCTGTTTTCACCGCATTGAACACAATTGGCAGAACTTAAAAGTCAATTTATCCATGCACATCATTTTAAAAATTCATGTGCCTTCATAATCTTTAATCAAAAATATGAACTCCCCTTCTCTTTGCAACAACATAATTTCATGTGATGAGATCTCACATGTAATCGCAGCAGTTAGTAAACTCCAATAATCCAATCAATTCCCCAAATCAAGTCCCGTCCTACATTTCACTCGGATATACTTCACAATAGGGAAGAAAAGACGAGCGCAATTTCCAATTCTTCATTATTTTAAATGCTGAAAAGTGTCAAGAGTCGACATGACATTCAGTAAGGTCATTAAACTATTGCCAAATTGAAGCAACATGGTTTTCAAATGGATTTAAAGGGCTAGTTCACCTTAAAATGAAAGTTTGATCATAATTTACTCACATGTCATTCCAAACCTGTATTACTTTCTTTAGTGGAACACAAATGCAAACTGATATTAAAATCCTGAACTATTATTCCCTAAAAGTCTTGCTCTGTCATACAGTAGTTATCAAATTTCATTCATTTACATTCAAAAATGACACTTAGAGACATGCTGTGGCGGGTTAATCAATGCTGCTAAATGCTACTGGTTCACAGCACAAAACAAGTTTGAGAATGTGGGAGAGTGAATAAGATTTGAGAGTTTTGAACGCACAGTATGCGAATAACCATTTAACATTAGCCTCTTCTTCATAAAAAGGTATTGTAAGGCCAATAAAGCACAAAAAGAGTAAATTATTCTGCAAAACATCTCCTTTTGACGTATTGGCTATAAAGCTCAAGGCTACTAACTGACATGCTGATAAAGTTCAAATGCCTCAAAGAGTTAGGCACTTGATCCCAAGTTGCTCCAAAGGGACTGACCCTGGTAAATCTCGCTGCCTTTTCACACAGATGCAATTCAGAGACCACTACTAACTACCCATTAGTTCCCAAGAAATATATAAATCCTTCCAAGCATACAAATCTTATTGCATGTTTAAGAGGTCTCTTTTCCATTTTCTTCCCAGTGGTAAAATATCTTAGTCATCTGAGCGTGAGAGAGACTCTTATACTTTCTTTGTTCCTTCTGCCCTCAGTTGCAGACGAGTGAGTAAGTATCAAGTACTGCTGCTATTGCATGACTGGCGTGGGCAACGGTGTTAAGATCCAACCATGACGAACTCTGGCAGATGGTCATTTAGTTCACATCACTTTGTTCTTCCTGTTCTCACAAAAGTAGATCATAAAGAAGGTGAGAGAATAGACCCAATACAATTTTACCCAATGAAGTACCGCCACTTTGTCTAAAATATTTCTCCATTTGCCTGCAGTGAAAGAGTCTTCCTACACACATGAAAACAGTGATTATCGTCTGAACAGTCTGTTCTTGTAAAAGTGGGCCACTCTCTGACTGGCCCTCCCTTTTCCTTTTCCTTCTCTTGCCATCGTTGCTCCCAACGCTCTGTCTATCACCATCTCTGAAGAGTGGGCGTCACAGTAGAGGAGTGAATCTCGCTTACTTGGGAATGACTGGTGTTCTTCTGCATGCTGGTGAATCCACCAGATCTCTGAATCTCTACTCTATTTTTGATCAGTGTGAACGTAATGTCCTAAAAGAATAATCATCCTTCACTACGTATTTGACTTTTATGTATGGGCTGCACCAGCTTAATTAAATCTTAATACGATTGATAAGCAATCAAATGAATCTTTCCCCAATATACATTCAAGCACATTCTCTAGCAAGCATGGTGGAATGATCAGCAATGAAATGCAATGAATGACTGAATAAATGGGAATTGGGAGCAGAAACAACTGAACACAAAATGTGAAGTTGTCCAAGTATGTTATTTACTTGGCAAAATGGATACTTCATTTATAGTATATGATCTGCTTTAAAGAGATAGTTCATCCAAAAATGAAAATTATGTCATCACTTTCTCACCCTCATGTTTTTCCAAACCTGTATGAGTTTCTTCTGTTGAGCACAAAAGAAGATATTTTTAAAACTGTTGATATCCAGACAGTTGACGGTAGCCATTGACTTCCATAGTATGAAAAAAATACTGGGGGCCCATCGACTGTCTGGTTACCAAAATTCTTTAAAATATCTTCTATATTTTAAGAAACTCACAGTACCACTTTAGAACAATATGTTAATTTTTGGGGTGAACTATCCCTTTAATACTTACATTACATGACTGAAAGGTTAAAGACAACATGAAATCAAAATTGAACATATATACTTTCTTAAAAGTCTTTTGTCATGTAAAATTTTTCCAGAATATTTGATCAAATGTAATAATTTTCATAAATGCTAATGTAACAAAGGCCAAGTTGATATAAACGAGGTCATTAACAAGTTGACATTATCGTTAAATATTAAACGATAATATTAACAAATATCAATTTAACTGAACAAATGATCCAACCAAATATGGATAAAATCAAATTAGTCTTACTGATTATTCAGCTTCACTTAAAAAAATGTCCCAATGTGGAAGTTAAATGTGTTGTAAATGCCATTTAATGTTGTCTTTAACATTTAAATGTGCAAACAAGGGCTAAAATGCATTGTTAAGGCAATTTTTACTTAAATGAACTGAATTTCAGTGTTTCTGCAACCCAAATTTTCTTCAGCATGAAATGGATTCTCACCTTGGTGTGGTAGGTGCTGCTCGTTTTGGCCACTGCACATTGACGGTCAACAAGGAAGCAATACCTCCGTCTCTCTTCGGACAGGGCGTTCTTGTAGCTCTCAGAGATGTAGTTATCCAGCTCATTTTGTTTGCTGCTGATGGTCTCGACGTACTGGGGGACAGGGAAGGTGGCGTGAAGCAGACAGAAAAAAAAAAAAAGGCAAACAATGCCCAAGTTTGACTCAGACTGATGACTGATGTAACGTCATGCTAGGAGAAATTGACATGCACATTTCAAATGACAACCATGTAGGCTTGCTGTTACTCTCATTGTATGATAGCAAATGGGAATGCTAAAGCTTAATGGTCCATAGCACACAAAGCTGGTGAGGGCTTATTTAGCCGGCCTATTTGGTTTGATCAGATAATCCAAGTAGCAAAGTAGGTCATGTTCATTATTTAGTATTCAATAAAAAAAATTAAAAAAATTAAAATGGATAACTAAAATAATCATAACATTAACTCAAGATTCCTGTATAACAACATAGAAATTACCAAGGCTGCTGCCTCGGTAGAGATCACACTACAGTCAAAACATCATCTAACAAGGACATACACCTTGCAGGAACTGGATGTGATCCAAACGCACACACACAGGTGACACCTTTCATAAGGTTCCTCAACCTGTGTAGGCATCGTGATACCACAGTGAGTTATGCGGATTCCTTCCCACCAAGTGTAAATGAAAAAGGCTGGAATCACTGTTTGCAAGTCTATTATTAGTTTTCGGTTAGAAAAGGTCATTGCATGATGTGAAATGTGTCACAGGTTCATAGTGATGTATGAATGTGTACAATATGTTCACCCAGACTGTCATTCTTTGACGTGTTATGAGTTTAGTGACTTACCAAACTGTAATGAATAAAGCAATGCCTCATTATGTAATTGGTACATATCCAACCAGCACCAAAACAGCTTTGTAGGTTTAGTGACTCTGATGCACATCAAACGTGCATGTTGTAATACTTTAGCATAAAACTCATGTGGGAAAGAAAGTGAGAAGGGAAAGAGTGAAAAAAAATGAAAAGCTAAAGAGAAACACACAAAAAAAACAGATGTTGCAGTGTCAAATATAAAAGCAGATATTGGGTTGTCCAGCTAGTATACTTGTAATCAGCCTGTAGGTAAAACACAAGATGTAAATGTAACAGGATTTCCAGGATTCTCTCTGATCATGAGTGGGAGTTTGGTCACACCGCTGACAGGTAACATGCTCAGCACACAAAAACAGCTGATCGCAGAATATTTCTGCACGCAGCATCAACCCAAAGTGTCAGTCACATCACATTATCAAGCTTGACAACTTTATTTTAAGTGAACTGTGAATTGCTCAGCAAAAAATATTCCAGGAGACTGAAAAGAAAATGCTGAGGGCAAAGCATGGTGGTTACACTTCTCCTCAAATATCCTCTGTTCTTTCTAGGTTCTTACCAAAATAGAAACAACATACTTGGCAAAAATTTTGAAGGCATTTCCCTCCCCTTTGGAGTTCGGTTCTCCAGTGTAAACACCCTTAAAGAGAAAGTCAGAATTCATTTTTTTAAGACAAACTAGCATATACTGTCAAGGTTCTGTCACTTTGGTCTGGTTTATTCTTAGTTTGGTGACCTGACACTCTTATCGTCTTGTCTTTGTGTGGGCGAGCCTTACACTCTTTCGTCCGATCGAAGAGAGTACGGTGTTTGGATTCCGGCACTTTTAGTCCAGTGTCGGGGTTCGGACATTCATGCTCCATGTTTAGTCTCTTGTTGTGAGCGCACAAGTTGAGTGTTCATTGTGTTTTTGTTGAGCGTCTGGTCTATGTGTTCATTGGCCAGGCGCTCTTGTGTTCTCGCGTTCTGTGTAGCACGAGGCTTGTGTTTATTACTGGCCATGTGCTTTCATGTTGTCATGTTTTGTGTGGACACGCAGACAGGGTACTTTTGGTTTTCTTTTTGTTTTATTTTCTATCTAAATAAAGATTGCTGAAGTTCTTCCCTGCATTTGGGTCCTCTCTTCATTCACCAAACCTGACATATACACTACCGTTAAAAAGTTTAAAGCGATTTCTATTTTAAATAAATGTTCTTTTGGACTTGCAAATAATACTTAATATTTTTGTGAAAAGCAAAAAAAAAAAAGTAAGCACCACAACTGTTAACTGATAACAAAAAACAAAATAATAATTCTTGAGCACCAAATCAGCATGTTATGATGATTTCTGAAGGGTCAGACTGGTTTTAAATTGTAATAAAATCTTACCAACTCCAAACCTTTAAGTGGTATGTAAGCTACTAACATAGCTGCATTTGTGGGCAGCAGTAATTTAAGATGATTGAATCTCTATTTTGGAATTTGAACATGTCGTAGCCCACATCTGCATGTAGACTGCATACATTTATGCGCTAATGGATCAGATATGATATTTCTCTCTGGATAATGACAGCACTATACAGCAGGATCTTCTTTGAATTGAATGACCCATGGTCAAAACCCCTTTTCTGCTGTCTGAGTCATGAAGAGTACATTTACATGTACAAGCTGCACACCAAGATTAAACCTTGAGGTTCAGCAAGTACACTTACACAACTGCAGACGTAGAACCAGTAAAAGTCCGTTGCCAGATACAAGTACAAAAATATGATGTCACCAGGCAAAGCTCAAATGCATCACATTTCTGCATCTTACAGTTACCAAACTGCCCCTGGACTAGTTAATTTACACTCACAAGAGTTTCAGTAGCAATGCTGGCAGTAATTCGCTTTATTTTATTTAGTGGTTGAGTAAAACGTATAAAAACTAGTGTTTTTTGATGTCAGCTTTGATAGATGTTTACTGCAATACAACCTGAGGCAATAGGTTCACTCATGATTTATTTAAACAACTAAACTATGTAAACTATTTTTCACCATCAGACATTAAAAGCATAGGAGCATGGCAGAGCATGGCATTCAACATCTGTATTTACAATCTCCTTTAGTTATTCTAGTAATAGACAGGCAGTGTGATTAGCATGATGTTAAGTACTACTTGTGAAGTAGCTAAAATGATCATACCCAACCAAGCAACAGTAAACACTCTTTAAATAGCTATCAGGATAAAAACACTGCATTCAACAGGAGTTGGAACACACTAGAGTTGGTAAACAGGTACTGTACGACTGCACTGTCATAGTGTGTTTGTATGCTGGGCAGTATGTAGCCGTATGGCTCATTGTGGTGGAGTCGGGGTAAATGGGTTCAGAAATCATATTCAGATTCCTGCACTATGTGCCTTTAGTTTGATACCCAAGGGGAATACAAATGTACACACATATACACGCACAAAGATGATGTAACGTGGGTCCATATCCTACACTACTGCAGTCTGAAATCATAAGCGACACTCCAGTTGAAATCAATCTGCCTGCCCTCCGTGTGGCCTCATTTTAACACGTGCGGAATATGAATGCAGGATACGATTGCAGTGCTGGGATTGAATATGCATTTGTACAGTGCATTATGATTCCTCAAGGAAACAAAAAGAGAGAAATGAGTATATTAAATTAGTCACGGTATTAATATTGGCAGCAGTTCTGTGGGAGAACTGGAACGTTTCTCTTTAGTATAATCAGGGAGGAAATTGAAATAGAAATTGAATTGTTTCTTACATAAAACAAAATCTATATTATGTTTTAACAACTGTGAAAAATTACAAACTTCAAATTATAATAACAACAGCTGATTTACAGAATAAATAGAATTTTTCCAGAAAATATTAACTAGTATATTGGCATTTTTGGGGCAAATTCAGATTTTTTAAAAGGTTGATATTAAAATTTGATTTTGTCTAAATAGATAAAGAATTTGTCATTTTAAAAGTGAATTTACGCATCACAATATTACAATGTAGAGTTTGAAAATGGATATTGATTTGGGATTACAAAGATTACATTTAAAAATTATTATTATTTTTAAAGATTAACTTTCACCTTTTTTGACATTTAATGCTCACTAAATATAAATGAAAAATAGGGTAATAATCATGCGCAATTAAATATCCAACATTGGCAATTTTTTTAAATAATTATAATCTATAAAACAAATCTCTAATATCAGCAAATAACTGATCAAGTCTTTAAGATATTCCCTAAGGCTTGGTGTAGTGTGTTTTGCAGTGTTCTGCTCATGGCATTTCTAAAGACACAGCAGGATGCACAGCAGGGACCATGAGCCCAACATGTAAAATTCATCCATGGTTCATACTGAGCTGCTAAGTGGAATGAACACACTCACACGCCTATAAATAATTGACAAAAGCTATTACAGAAAAAACAACATTCATTGGACATTTAAAAATTCTCATGAGAGAGATGCCACATGTAGGGAACCATAGGAAGGGTTTACACATACAGTGTTTTCTCAGCTTTCAAATCTCAGCTTTCACAAAAAACAAACAAAAACAAAAAAATCCTGGGGAGCGTCTGGGGTTTATGGGCTGTGGCCAGAGACGTTTTAACGTGCAGCTTCAAATATCGACTCCCCGCCCGATGCCCTGTGCCACTCGGAGGCACAAGCTAAACTAACAATCAGAATGTGATTTCCAGCTGTTTTCTAAATGCACTTCTTGCTTCAGAGCTGCATACGCATCAGTTTTTAGCCTTTGATCATTAGTCAAGAAAATAAGTACATCAGAGCCTCTGTTTCTGCTTGGAACTGAATCTGTTGCGGTCTATGGAGGCCTCCTAGAGCTTTCGTTAGACTCCAGAACAGGAACAGGAAGTTACCCTCACTGTGTTCACAAATTAATTTAAACAACCCACTCATCTTCTTCCTTTCTGTGTTTTCTCTTATACACACCTGTGGAGTGTGTTTAAAATGCAAGCAGAGCCCACAGCGTTTTACGCAACAGTTTACCCACACCACGACGAGGAGCACACCTACAGCTAATGGCATGAACTGACCCCAGGTCAGTCCACAGCATAACACTCCCACTTCCCCCTGACCTCACACCTGGTGACGACGGTAGTGAGAGGCGTACGTTCAAAACAAACAGCGGCCCCGACAATTCAACCCCCGTACAATGAGGCCTCGGTGAACAAAAGCACAAGGACACCACACACAATGAAACCCACACAAAACAAGTACAATATTGCATGGAAGGGCTTCAGCCAAACAGAGTGGGATTTTCTTTAGCACCTAAAAAGCCAAAGAGACTAAAACTGGAATGTTTTCTCTGTTTTCACAGCTACTTCCGTCTGATTCAGTGCAAAGCAGGAGCATGAAAAGAGCAACAGCATATCATAAAGGAAAAATACACTTTTAAACATTTATAACCCCTGTAGGGTTAGGGTTAATAACTCACAAAATTCTGAAATAGATTCTGAAAAAATGCCTGTGCAAAACTCGCCGCCGACATGGTTATTTTTAATGAATCTTTCGATCCAACTGATTAATATTTTTTTGATATAAATAGTATAATAATTGTAACAAAACAAAAATATGTTGGACAAAATAGCATGAATTGCAAATGTAAACATGTGATCATGTGCATGTTTAATTTCTCATATCCTCTCAAGTGTGTTCAAAGGTGTATATTCAAACTGTGAAGGGAGAAAAGAGTGGATTTATGGAGATTATTTATAGAAATAGAGGGATTTATAGAATTCCCACGATATTCAATCCCAGCAGGAAGACTCAGTTGGATATCACACACATCAAAAACAAATTCAATGCCTAAGTTCTGGAACATTCCAATCTACTGCCAAACTCTGAGCGTAGGGACATACATTTTTAAAGATTGAATTGATTTATGCTTACTCATTTTAAAGAAATAATTCATCCAAAAATAAATTCTCTCCTCATTTATTCAACCCCATGTTGTTCCAGACTTTTTTTCCCATGGAACACAAACAGGAGAAAACAGGAAGAATGTACTGGAAACTCTTTTCAATGCAATTATAAGAAATGGAGACTGGAGCTTTCAAGCTTCAGAAAGGTTGCAACACACCATAAAAGTATCATAAACTTCATACAACTCATTTGTTAAATTTCAGGTCTTCTGTCAAGACATAGTCATATTAAAGAGCTTTGGACGAAAACTAAAATTAAAATCGTTTGGGTCTTTGGAACAACATTCTTCAAAACATCTTCATTTGTGTTACACAAAAGAAGGTCAGATGGGAATGACATGAGGGTGAATGTTGACAGAATTTTTACTTTTGGCCGTAATTAGTTTACTGACTACTTAAAAGTAATTATCTTTGTTTAAATTTGAAGAAAAGAGCTGACTCACCTGCATCTCCTTGTCTCCATATTTGGAGGGGTTCTTGCTGCCCTGACTCTTCCTGCGCAGTTTCTTCAGTTCGGCCTGGCACTTCTCCAGACTCTCTCCTTTACTTTTGTGTTCCATCTGATATTTCTTTAGAGCTGCCTGCCAGACGAAATAACACAGCTCTCATCAAAATCAACAGCTAAGGAAATTCAAATGGACAAGACGAGGAAATTAATGGTCGTATTTCAAATATCTATATCAAGCATCTATTCCAGGAGAGTGGATGAATGCCAACTAGAATAGAATAAGATGCGGCAGTATTCTTGATAACTTTATTCTCAGGACATCCTGAGGTTTAAAGGTTAAAATAAATGTTTAGCGTGCCCATCGTGAGTCAATTGTTTCTGAACAATGCTTAACTGAACTGAATCCAGAATCGAAAAGACCTGAAGGTCGTCATGTGTTCTTTACTAATGGGAACTTGGCTGAGTCAGCCCAATAAGGTCTTTCATTGTCCTCAAAGTGTCTTCCCAGAGCTCCCTGCTTCATGGATTCATTGTGTTTCAGACCAAGCCTCTTTGTTTCCCCTAGTCTTCACTGCCAAAGCCTTCTGCTTCATTTGACTGAGCAGTTTTATTTTGCATCCTTACTATGTGTGGAACAAAAAAGTATGGGAGCATAGTTAATGTTTAATTATGTTTGTCAATTCTGGAAATGAGTGACCGAAAAAAATGGGCCTTTGATTTTTTTTCCCCAAATAAGCTGAGGGTCAATCTAATGCATTTACAAACAAGCCTGTTAGAGACTCAGTAAGAAGACTTCACAATCTGTGTTGCTGAAAGCTTCGTTTCAGATGCTCCGCTGATCTTTCATGCATATAAACAGACTTCTCTCAAGTAAAAAAAAAGATCACTTTTCCTAACACAGACGAGAAGACTAGCCTTTTAGAAAATGTTAGTGTTAATGGTGGTAATACTCTCACGTTCATTACATGCAGTAAACTGTTATTGCATTTAAAAGTGACGGTATTTGCCAATAAAGCCAATTAGGTAAAATGGACAATCAATCTAGTTATGTTATTGGAAGCGACTATACATGTTTTAAAACAATTAAATGAAGAAACGAGACAGAGAGAGAGCCCTTTACTTTACTGAGTTAGGTAAAAGAGAATCTTGAGAGAAATACATTTTTGTGAGTGAAATCCAGTCATTGCGATCAGGAATTTCATGTGAGGGTGAAAGTTAAACACAGATTTCACAACTGGTTCAAGTTGCTCATGCGGATTCGCCACGTTCACCAACAGAAAGCTGAAAGTGACTTCAGCGTGAGCGGTGCTTTATGCATCACAACGCTATTGACAATAGACGATTGTGGCGAGGGGGGCGTGGTTCCGCGAGGTCTGTAACGGGAGAGAGAAAGGCGGTGCGTAAGTAGGGTCAAGTGCAAATGACGAACACCTGTGTCTTGTTGCAGTAATTGGCGTGGAGAGACCGGATATTAGCCGCAGTGAAGTGAGAGACGAGAGAGAGAAGGATTGAGGACTCGTACGCCATCAGCAAGTGGAAAGAGTGATCGATGAGAAAGTGGAAAGAGTCTGAGCTAATCCAGCGGAAAGAGTATTAATGTGAAAGTGTTTTGTGCTGTAGCGTGGCTACGGTGAATGCGTTGTGTGCGCGCCTTTTGTTTTGAGTTTGTACAATAAAACGTGTCCAAGTCACGCCGACTCTGTCTTCTTCCTTCCAAACACTGAACCTCATCACAACGATTAACCTTTTTTGCCGACAAAATTTCATCATACCGGTAATTTTACAAATGTGACCGTACCTTAAGTAAGTGTTTGTGTGTGCTTATATACTTACATTTAAATAGCGAACATCCAATTCCACTTTTTTCTCCAGTTCTGTGAGTAGTTCATTGTGGAATGATTTCAGCTGAAAATTACAGTAGACAAATACAATTTATATTATACACACACACTCTACAGTACAACACACCAGCAATTTTCCTCATGACAAACATTGATTCTGCATTTGATTACACATTTCACACCAAACTCAGTCATTAACACTGTAGCCTTACAGAACCAAAACTGATGTCCTATTCATAATACTCTTTTGTTTACTCCTTTTTCTGCCCTGTTATCATTTTCAGAAGGACTTAGATATGGTTTGTTTAACATCTGCAGCTGTGTCACATAGCACAGGAAAGTCTGTGTTCTGTCTAAGTTGGTGTGTTTACACATGTGACCATGGGCTATTGTCCTCCATGTATATACGGAAGCGTCTGAGTCGATGTGACATTTAGAGACGCCACTCCCTTCCATTTCCTTACCCTGGAGGCTAATGTGGCCTCTTAGATACAACCTGATTGTCTCAGTCATGTTGCGAGAAAATGTAATGAGAAAATGTGAGCCTATGAGGCAATACGATCTTCATCACATTAATGATACTCACCATGTCCTCTAGCTGCATTTGGATCTGTCTGTGAACCTCCGCCATCTGAAAAAGCACATCCCCTTGAGAGAGAAGGAGAGAGAGATAGACAGAAGAAATAGATGAAATTGTCATTATAATACTTTTGCATCTGATATCAGAACATCATGCAGTCAGACAAGGGTGCAGGGAAGAGAAAAAAAGAGAAACATTATGAACAAATTATGAACAAGGTGAGCTGACAGTCAGAGCTGGCGCCAGGGCACATAAATTAGGGGGTGGGGGGGCCCTTTATATTTCTGGGGGGGTCACTGGCACGCAAAATCACACATTTGTAATCGCTTTCGATTGCGTGTTTGCTTTTCGCTTTTACTTTTGTTTTCGAATTCGATCGTGTGCAGCGGGGAGGGAAGGGGGGGGAGGGGTACATTAACTCATTTGGCGGAGGGGGGCATGGCTCGCAAATGCCACCCCTTGGCGCTGGCCCTGCCGACAGTCAAGCTATAGGTGCAAGAAAGAATCTGACAAACATGAGAACTCAAAAAAACAAACAAACAAACAAACAAAAAAACACCACAGTGTTAAACCATATTGTTTAAAAAAAAAAAAAAATTTAAATGAGAGATCACACTGAAAAGGTAATATTAGTCTGAAATATTCTTCCATGAAGATGCAAAACAAAATAAAACATTCATGGGAAACAGTAAAAGCATATTGCAAGTGCATGTTTAATAAACATGAGAAACAAATAAGACGATAGAAAAGATGTCAAAAAGATCATGTTGTTAGCACACAGTTTTCTCATATCAACGTATCATTCTGTGATACAAGAGAGAGAGAAAAAAGAAGAAAATGAAAAGAAAAGCACAAATAAAGAGAGAAGAGGTGAATCATGCAGCCATTTGAGGCATGTGTGTTGTGTTGTGCAGTGTCGGGGTACCTACATGCTGCCTCTTCTGATTAGGCAATGCATTGTAAAAAAAAAAAGGAACAAAAGACCTAGTTTGAGCAGGAACAAATGTACAGAAGACCTTAAGACAGTAAGAAATAGTGAATGAGTAAAACCTCCCCAAACACTAAATGCATAAATAACACAGGTCAGAGGGCTGCCCTAGTCTCATGGGCACAATATCAAAGCAGTGTTTCCTACACCGTTATTTGCTGCTGAATCCATAACGCCACAGTGAAAAAATACAGCATTAAGCTACAAGGGCCATCAAAGTATGCAAGTGTTTTTGAAGACTTTGAAGGCTCAAACTGGCTGGTGGCATCCTTGTAGGTGTGCTTATAAAGCCTCAAATCATATTACTCAATCAAAGCAGCCCTAAAACAAAACTTCCATTACATTAGTAATACACACTTCCACAGGGACAGAAATTATTGTAGAGTACTGCTGAGACATCTTCCTTCCATCCATCATCCATCCATCAAACTGTTGTCTAACTCTGCATTAACCAGGTTTGAACTGGCTTGAAAACTATTGAAATAAAATAAAATGAAACGCACACACAGTATGCAACATAGAGGGCAGCATCAGCCGCAGACACTTTGAAAAGACAAGGCATTTACACACAAATCAGCTTTAAAAGAACAATGACAGACGTTCACGTTCATGCACTCGCATGACATCTCTCTACCTCCTGAACTGGTAATGGATGCAAGTCTTCATAGGGCTGTAAATGTAGAGGCAACTCATCCCTCATCCCATCATTGTTTGTATGGACGTGATTGATAACTCAAATTGTGCCTGTTATTTTCCATATCACTAGATATTAAATACCTTTAATATCAGTGCACACATTTATTTATATTTGAAATCCACGCACATCCCTCTGAGCTACTGAGCCACACAGTGTGTTTCATAAAGCGTGACCCTGCCTGTCTTTGAATCCGTCAAGCTGGACCCAGGACAACTGCACCAGCCTGCAGTACATATCTAATCAAGCCTTGCCTTTAAGCCCTGCCTTCTGAGAAATAGAGGGACAGTCCGTTTTATACAGTTGTTTGAGTTCAAGGTCAGCAGACTGCATCCAACCAGTAACGTCCAACGAAACAGAGAGATTAATAAGGGTGAACATGCAAACACATATTATACATATGCTTATCTTGCTGTATCCAAATTCAGTACATACTTTTTGTTGTGGTAGAATGAAGAAAAAATTAACATGAAAGGGGAAGCAGGCATGAATGTGACACTTTCTAAGGTACAAACAAGAATAGCCATTGTTTTCTAATAGGAACTCAATTAAATATTCAGAAAGAACTTCATTAGATATGATGGGCAAGTGACTCATTTGACAACATTCAAGTGACAATACTGAAGTGATAATACTCAAGTGACAACATTCGAAACAAAAAATTGTTCGTTTCTCTTTCATAGCTCTGAAGATGTAATGGGGATCTCAGTTATTCTTCATCTAAGTATCACAGATGTTTCCTCAAAACTTCTCTAGGAGAAATAAACAAGGCAATTGTCTAAATACAGTAAAAGCATAGTGATATAAAATTAAAATGGATAGCATAGCTTAGATAATTTGGCCTTTGAGAAATTTCGAACTGCTAAGTCTGCAATCACATCTGAGCACAAATTGTGACACTCTTTAGATGTCTTCTAAAGTCTATGCACATGTGAGATCACTAAGATGTTTTTCTCAAGGCGTTCTAGGAGAAACAACTGAGATATTAAATATCATCTGTGATTTTTCTTCCTATGGGTATACTATATCAGGTTCATATAAAAGTGCATGACCATGCCCTAGCCTCACCCGGTTGTCCCCAGTCCAGATCTCGTCTGTAGGTCGACACACTCTCATTTCCTGTCTAAGTCAGCACAATGGTCTGACACCACTCCCCGTCCTCATCCTTCACACCCCCGAAGCTCTCTGCTGCAATTCAGCCGTGCTCGGCAGGGCTCTAAGCCGCTTACCAGTAATCAGCACGGATCACAACATCTGCAGCTTTGAAAGACTTAAACATATTGTTGTCCGCTCTTAAAGGGCCGAATCAATTAAGGTACAGTCTGAAGAAACACTGGGGCATAGTCAGCACCCTAAAAAAAACTAACTACTAAAAACCGGCTTGTTTGACAAAAACATCAATCATCAATACATTATTTAAATAAAGCACTGAGGACTTAGGAAGGAATAAATACAAAAAGATAAAGAGCTTAAAATGAGAATGATTTTTGATTTGCTGTGCACAAGTCAACATGAAACCCATTTTGTTTTTGTAAAATGATACTTTTCTACGGACCCACGCACATGGCATGCACATGGAGGTCAAAATATCATGGCCACGAATAAAAAATTTGTTCCCACAACTTTATTTGTTTCCTTGTTGGCCACAATTTAACTAAAGCGAGGGAACAAATTAGTACAACGTGACCATGATTTAACTAAAACACGGAAACAAATAATAAAACGTGGACACAAATTAATAAGTCATGGGAACGAATTCTTAATTTGTGCCCACTCTTTTTTTTACTTCCAAATGTCATGTGTGGGGCTCCATACCTTTCAAAGTAAAACAGGATATTCGAGAGAGAAAAAAAAAACTTGGATTGTGACTGAGAAGTGGCCTTTTTATACCATGGTTGGCGAAGCACTACAGCGGCATCGCTGTATGACACCGTAGAGTCTCACTGGGTCAACCTAACCTTTCCAAGGGAAGATGAGCCCCATAATGTACTCTCATCAGAAAGCAAGTGAGAGAGTGCTAGAAAACCGTCTTTTTCCTCATCTTTTTCTTCTTTCTTTGCCCATTCTTCTGTTGTCCTGTCTCTTATTAAAGGGATACTTCACCTCTGGGAAGATGAATGTGTATTTAATATTGGTCATTTATATAGTAGAAATGTGAAATTAATTTTGAAATTGAAGCATTCTAGACTGAGAAAAGGCAGAAAATGTATTTTTTACTCATGTGGCTGAAAGACAACAACTCCCAGAATGCACTTGCTTTGCTGCCCTTACGAGGCCACTCCTAAACCACGCCTACCGGTTACAGGCGGCAGAATCTGAAAAATGGATACAACTAGGCTTGCTTTGATACATCGTGAGTTATTTGATAAATTTCCATCGAAATGGTGCTAAATGGGGGGGAAGCACGGTAACTCAAAAATACTACTGGTTTTCTACTGATACAAAGCTTAATGCTAAATCCTGAAGTATCCCTTTAAACTAACTCAATTCTCCCTCTCCATCTCTTGTTGTACTTAAATTATTTGACTCTTTACCCTTGGTAGAAGTAATAAACACCAATATTGGGTTAATTATACAGCACACAGATGGATGTGATAAACTTTAGTGCCTTTGGACCAAGGTCTCCTCTGCTGAATTCTCCAATACGCTGGAAGACGCTTTACAGCAGAACTTTTAACATTAAAAATGACATAAACCTAGAGCACAGCTCTTTCTTTCCACCAAGCTCACATATGGTTGTATATCTATAGGCATAACAAACAAAACAGTCAAACTGATCCATATGCTTCAATATAATAATCCAGCCGTATTTGAATCTGTAAAACTCAGTGACCCAAAACGAAATGCATTGATGCCTCATTGAGCTTGAAACTCCTAAATAGTTTTTTTGCGGACATTACTTGGTGGCAGAGGACTGTATACATGACTATTAGAGAGCAGCTGATGAGGTCGTAATGGAGATTGATTACTGCAGCAGAACAGATTCAGGGAGGGGTGTTGTGGGTTGGATGTGCTGGGCAGCCAAATTCATTTTATCAAATATCGAAGTAACAGTATCATCATTGTCCATGGCTATTGAACTTTATTTAGACCTACAGGTGGCTAAATAATTAATAATTTGAAGCAATAGCTTGAGAATAATTATAAAACATCTCTATTTCCAAACCTAGTGAGCTGCCTTATTATCTATAAAGCCCCTTTCACACAGAGATTCCGGAAAATACACGGATAAAGTGATCCGGGATTTGACCCGGGTTCGTTTGATTTTGCTTCATTCACACTGCCAGTGATTTGCCGGAATCAGAGAGCGCGTTCACACACAACCCGTGTGTGTTCCGGAAAGACGCGTGACGTTGGATGTGACGGGTCTCTACTTCAGTCCAGTTTGCAGACATTTTTTCGTTCTTTCTTGTATCGATGACGAACACAAACTTTCTTCTAGAGTAACTGAGCCGCACGATAACTACGTCATTGCAAAGTCTCGTGAATCCTCACTACGACACACCCCTTATACGGCATTGGTTCTGGCTTTTGTTCACACAGCGCGCGTTCCGGGTCTGAACACGGCAATGTTACTAGGTCCCCAACCTGGCATCGATCCCGGCATCAATACCGGGTCGTGTTTGCGTTCACACAGAAGGCACTCTGGCAATTTGCCGGCAATTTGCCGGGTTCAAAGCGCTGTGTGAAAGGGGCTTAACCTACATAGATGTCTACCTTCAAAGTAAAATTTAACCTCATAAGCAACTGATTTAGAATGCCATACAATTGCAGCAACTAATTCCAATGGAGTTGGGCATTAGAATGTTGCTAAGCTAACAAAAATATACTCTAATGAGAGTTAAAATTCAGAGCACACCCATATTTTGAGGAAAATAGCAAATTTATACTTTGCAATATTCACTTTACAAATCAACACTCATCTACCATTTTACTATTATTATTATTATTTTATTTTATTCAAATTTGTATTCATTTTGAGGCTTGCCACAATTCATTCTGGGATATTTTGCAATATATTCTAACTATATTCTTCTATGTACATTTCTGAAATGCACTTTCTGTAAAGCTGCTTTGAAACAATATGTATTGTGAAAAGCGCTATACAAATAAATTTGAATTGAATTGAATTGAATATTTTAGAAGGAAAGTACCTACATTATGCCTTAAAATGCTGTCTAAGTAGGTAGCTCACTAGGGTTTGGAAGGCTTAGAAGTTAAAATAACATAAATTTATTAATGTTCATGAGCAAATTTTT